AATGTATTATTTTGAATATAACAGCCAATCAAAGTAATTGGGTTGTCATAAGAGAAATCTCTGTTTTCAGAAAAGGAGACATTGTGATCGAAAACCCGTCACATTCTTCAAACAAAAATTTCGACAAAGTACAGTTTGTAGCTCAAGAATTAAGAAACCGCATGCAACATAATCCGATTTATGCTCAGCAGATGCAAAAAATGCATTTTAATGCAATGCAATTTCAAGAAGAAATTTTTCGGAAAACAGGTGGTCGGAAAAACAAACCATTTCAAGGAATGCCCGCAGTTCAACAGAGATTTCCTGCTGCAAACAATTTCAGACAAGCGAATCAGTTTGCAGATCAATTCAGGAGAAATTTTAATCGAATACCCCGTAATAGAATGATGAACATACAATCTAAAAAGAAAAAGTACCATTAAAAGATAATTTAAACTTAAAAACATGTTGCTCAAATCAAAAAATTGTTTTATATCTCCTATTGAACAAGAGGGCCCGGACAATTATTGTTAAAAATGCATTTCGGAAACCTATTTAATACAAAATCGGGAATAAATTTTTCAAAGTTGCATTGGTTTGCTTTATCTACTTTTCAAAATATGTATACACGTATGTCGGAATTAAAATATTACGTGGTCCATCATATAAAATAAAATGATTTCAAAGATTGTACGTAAACTTCGTCATAATATAGATATAAGAAGATGTGGTATGAGTGCCAATGAGACAACTCTCCATCCAAATCAAAATTTATTAAAGTAAACCATTATAGGTCACAGTACGGTCTTCAACACGGAGCCTTGGCTCACACCGAACAGTAAGCTATAAATGGCCCCAAAAATTACTAGTGCAAAACCATTTAAATGGGAAAACCAACGGTCATATTTGCACGTGCCGAAAAAAACCCGCCTGATTACAACAATCATAAAATTAATGCATTACAACTTAGTACAATAAACGAAAATAAAAGTGAAATAATTGAAAAGAAGCGACATGCAAAAAAAAAACACACACACAATTTATGTCCGATAGATAATTCTGCTAAAACACCATTTGAATTAAGGATGTATTCTTCTGATGTTTCAGTCTCGTTGAAATCGCGGGAATTATTTCCAAAACATGTGATACATGTGGAAAATATCAAGGAATTTTTTAAAAAATATAATCAAACTAAACTCTGTAAAAAATGTGTATTTACAATTGGTAGTTTTGAGTAATCAAATTTTCAAATTTTATAACAAATCAAGTCAGTCTTATCAGCCAAAATGTTGAGAAAATGGGTGAGGGGTACAAGGTATGATTTTACCAAAAATATGTACATCCCATATCAATGTTTTCTTTTCAAAATTCTTAGATATGTATTTTGCAATCATTTATAACAAACAAGTTGAAATAATATGCTTTTTGTTCTTAAAAAAAGAAGAGAAAAATCCCAAATTTTCAAAATTGACAGCATGGTCAAATTGACAAGAAAAAGCAACAAAATTTCATAAAACTTTCTAATATTAACACCAACCTATAGTTTTTTTTTTAAGTTAAATTTATTCAGATGGGTCCACTTCATCTTAAGTGAAAGTATAAAAAAAGGTTTAATTATGAAACTGTGATTTTTTTCATGATAATAGCCCAAAAATGGGCAAAAATTGATGAAAAATGGGAAAATCATTAAAATTGGGTACTTTCAAATGGCCGTAGCAAAAAAATAAATGCACCGCCATATGATTATTTTCTTCATCAATTACTTTATTACAGTCATATAAACCCAAAAAATCAGGTTAAGAAAAAAGTTTTAATTCTAGTAATGTTTGGCTCCTCACAGATGTACATCCTTAAGTTGTAAATTTGAAGCGATCATGACTTTAACGAATACGTTAAATTTGAAAATGATGCGGCAAATCTAATGGGACTTCTTCTAGCTTGACAGATGAAACGTTTTCAAAATCTTAAAAGTCGAGAGTTATTCTTTTATTTGTACAATGGAGTATCTGCATGGACACCCAATTCTATAATAAGTTTTATAATCAATAGAATAATTTCCAAAGAATTTAAACCTATTTTGAAGGACAAATTTATTCTTTTTACATATCACTTGTTCATCTTTCAGATTACAAAACCATAATATTGTTTACTGCATTTGTGATATTTCATTTTAGAAAAACAAGATGGTGTGACCAAAGTTATACATTAATCAGGAAGACAATTTATAAATAACATTATTCATGGAATCATTAAGTTGAAGTCATTTTTAAATACAGGTGATCAAATTACCTTCAAGCACATGCGTAAACTATGACTGAGTGGATCTGAAACAAATATTTCCTGAAAAGATTGGTTTGTCAAATGTCACCTATGAATAAGACAGGATAAAATGTTGTTTGTTTTATGTCCAGTGGCAAATATCCCAAACACAATCATGAAGATAACAGAGTGGTTGTTGAGTTGATATGAAACAAAACATTTACTGAAACGGTTGATTTGTCAAATGTCACCTATGAATAAGAATGCATAAATTGTTGTTTGCATATGTCCAGTGGAAAATATCACAAGCAAATCATGAAGATAACAGAGTGGGTGAAATTAAAAAAAAAACCAACATACTTTTGTTTGATCGACATGGGTTTTTTCTTGCAATTGTCGTTAGGATAAATGTTTGGTTTCCGAGTAAATTGTCAATTAATATACCTAATTCCTTCATTAAGCAGTTTATTCAATGTGTTCAGGACTCTGTCTACGAGTACAATATATTTGTCATTGAGGTATGAAAGGTGTTTAGCAACATTTGGGTCTCATAGACCCGTTAAGTGTTTAAATTTTATTTTGTAACACGTCGTCACAGCGTTAATCCATTCATAAAGGGTTCCTATGCGTATATTCTAATGACAGAATACATTTATTAACTTATGTTTCCAAAACATTGGCTGCGAACCTTTGGTCAACTCCTTTCGTAGACGAGAGTTGTGTATGTTACCAGTTACATGTATAACGAGGTCGGATTAAATATGAACGGAACATTCGCAGTTGCGGTCATGAATTTTATACTTGAATTCGTCATTTTTTTTACATCTTGCAACACTTGTTTGTAGTTAAACATATTGGTTGCAATAAGTGTGCAATAACATGTAGGATTTATCTAAAAGATTTTAAACCAATTTGATTTTTAATGCATGCAAAAACACTGCACTTCAAGTTTCCAATTACAATACTATAGAGTAGACTTTTCAATTAGCCAGTATCAGAAACCCATTTAAAACATATATATATATATATATATATATATGTCTAGACAAATTTACGACAGGAGACGAAATGTATATGTAATGATAATTATGATTTAATGGATGTAATATGATAAATAAATTAAAAAAAAAAAATTAACTCGCTGTTGGATTTGTGCAATGGTTTAATTCGCCTAATGAATTATGTGTTTTACCTGTAATACAGTAGTTAACTAATATTGACCGTGAACTTTAAAATGAATGACACAAAAAAAGTGAATCATTTGTGATACAAATATGATCTGTATTGAATGAAATATTTATCAACCCAGCCGATATGAAAATCGTTGTACCATACTAAAATAAATTAGCTGTTTCCCCTGTTGATCTGGGATCGTAGTATTATAAATGTCTTGTGTATAATAATTGAGAATGAAATGTTCAAAGCGAAAATATTGTCATATTTGCGGTGAAACGCTGATTAAAGGAGCTATCATATTCCTGATGCTGCAGATTACGGTTATTTTCACCTACTTGTATTTGACTGTTAATTCAACAAAAGGTAGGTGAATTTACTGAACCCCCTAAAAAGTCAAATAGAGGTCAGAAACATATAGGCAATCATATCAATAAATTTATGATATCGAGAAAAATACTTATTCATTTGTTGTAATCAATGACTTTTTATTTAAAACATTTGGCGAGAACAAGTAAAACAAGAAATGCTATCAATTGGGAATTAATTTTTACCCTCCTGTAGCCAGATCATCTTTTCAGAAAAGCCGTTGGTTTCTATCTTGAACAATTCAGTTAAACTTCAAATTCATGTCAATTGTAAAATACTATTAACAAGACTTGTTATTTAAAAAATCAAACTACTAGCAAATTACCGTAAAACATTTAAAACTTATGTCCTATACATGATTTCAGACTTAATTATCTTAATTTCTTAAATTATTAATTTTAGAAATCTACTTATTAAATAACTGTTAAGTTTCGAAAAAATACTCTTCATGCTAATGATAATTATGTTTTTTGCTTCAGTTTTTCAAGATGGAAATTATTACAAACTACCCCAGAATGTGCCACTGGTAAGTCGTCTTACCTTTAAAGTTAAGGTGGTACCTAACACTGCAGGGAGATAACTCTGTAAAAATCAGCTAAACGTTTTGATTACGTTGTATTGTTAAGGAAATATTAAGCTTTTCAATGATCAAAATTAGTGTTTGTCAAACTGCTATATAACCAGTGAAATTTTTCTGATAAAGTGGTTGGTTCCATTTTTTTGAAATTTTTATATTTTTGTCAAAGGGTCAAAGTAAACATTTTGTCAAAATTTTATGAAAATTAAACGAGCCAAATTAATATTAGTCAAGGTGTTGGGTACCACCTTAAACATGCAATTTCAGTCAACAAATAAAGAAACACATGACCAAAAAATCTGGATTTTTGTATATCACGACTAGTAAAACAATATGACGTTTGCTTTCATCATTGTTCTATTTTTAAATTCATGTGGTTTTTGTTTTTATAAATCTGTCAAATTCAATCTGATTAAAACACTTATCCTGTCCACGTTTCGCCTACAAGGATCTGACGCTCCGTTCAACTTTCTATTTTAAAGACCTTTTGTGATCCTCTGGTTAAGTAAGCGAAGCATGGACACATGATCTGTAGTGGAATCAGATTGAGTCAAATTCAACTTTGAATACTTAATCTAAGTTTACATCGATTTTTAAACAATCGTTTCCTATATACCTATTTATCTGTTTTTAATATCACAGTCTAATGAAACAAAACTAGAGTGTTTGGGTGCAGCTAAAACACAGTCTGATGAAACAAAAATAGAGTGTTTGGGTGAAGCTAAAACACAGTCTGATGCTGCAGTTGGATTCCAGCTTAAAGTTAACAGAGATGCTGCATTAATCTACGGTCACTTTAGAAAAACTAAAAGTAAGTCGAAGTCAAGTTTCCTTTTATTCATATGATTGATATAAATATAAAGAGATGGTGGGTAAACATCAACAAGATAATTCAGCGACACAAAAACCATAACACATTTCGATGTCGGTAAACAGTTTTATTTGGTGTCTACATAGTATGTCAAGCGATAAATCGCCCTGGATATAAATAAGGCTTTAAATAATTAACAGAGCCGGGACTATAAAAAATATGCAATCAACACCAAATTTCCTAAATATTGCATGCATAATTATGAGTTTGTTTATATCTAATAAAATAAATAGTTTGTAAAGCTAATTATAAAATTACTATACAAGAGGCTCTCAAGAGCCTGAATCGCTCACCTGTATTTCAGAGGAGAAGATTTTTAAATGTTAGCAAACTTGATGAACAAATTGTGTAAAATTGTCTTTAAATAACTCCTTAAGGGGTCAATTGACAATTATGGTCATATTAACTTTTTTGTAGATCTTACTTTGCTGAACATTATTGCTGCTTACAGTTTATATATATCTATAATAATATTCAAAACAATAACAAAAAACTGCCAAATTTTGTTAAAATTACCAATTCGGTGGCAGCAACCCAACAATGGGATGTTCGATTCGTCTGAAAATTTCAGAGCTGATAGATCTTGACCAAATGAACAATTTTACCCCATGTCAGATTTGCTCTAAAAGCTTTAGTTTTTGAGATATAAGCCAAAAACTGCATTTGACCCCTATGTTCTATTTTTAGCCATGGCAGCCATGTTTGTCGTTGGATCGAAATCGGATACAATTTATAAACTAGATATCCTAAGGAACATTTAGTTAAAGTTTGAAGGTATTTGGCCCAGTAGTTTCAGAGGAGAAGATTTTTGAAATAGTTTACGACGACAGACGACGCCGACAGACGACGGACGCCAAGTGATGGCATAAGCTCACATGGGGCCCTTCGGGCCCCGGTGAGCTAAAAAAAAAAACGGAAGCCCCAGTAGGAGTTATCAGAAATATATTTTGAATGTTTTTTTTACAAATTATACTATTCATAACATGCATTTAGTTAACTATTTCGAATTTTACGACTTCCCCTGGATTAATTGCAAAAATTTTATATATCATTTAAATGTTTAATAACGATTTGAATAATTTGTAAAACAATTACGGTAATCTCAATAACTAATCTGTATAATTTTCTATTTTGAATGTTTTTTTAACAAATTATAATATTTATAACATGCATTTAATTAACTATTTGGAATTTTACGACTTCCCCTGGATTAATTGCAAAAATTTGATATTTCATTTAAATGTTTAATAACGATTTGAATAATTTGTAAAACACTTAGGGCAATCTCAATGACTAGTCTGCATAGGAATTTTCTAGTATTTTAATTTTATTGCACCAGTTTAAAAAAATATTATATATCTGTTAACGAATGCTTTGAATTAATAATCTATTTTAAAAGCGTTTTACTAGAAGCTAATTGAATCTTTCACCCATATTTTTTATTCGCTATTAAGGGTTAAATTTGTTTAAACGAATATATGAATTGACTAAATGAAGTGGTATGACATTCAATAGATTATCAAGTTGAACGTATTTATATTTATAACTATAACGTTGTAAGTCTATACACTTTTGTAATAATGAACGGGGAACTATTAGAGTTCATGAAATGTTACAAAATAAAGAACACGGAGTTAATCTTTTCATTGAATTTTCTTTGCGTCGGGAACTATTAGAGTTCACGAAATATAACAAAATAAAGAACACGAAGTTAATTTTTCCTTTGAATTTTCTTTACATCGGTTTGAGTATAATCTACATTTCATCGCTTCACTGATCTTTATAATAAACCAAGGTCAGCGTCACAAAGGTACAAAAAAGGACGATTGAATGTGAAAATAAATTAAAACGTAATGACATATACATGTACAATTTTCAATCGTGGATATTTGATTTCATGGTCTTACAAAAGTCTGCATACAAGCCTGTAGAAAATGTGTACTTCGTGGAGCATTTGTATTCATGGTTAAATTATGTCCACGAAATCCAGAAAATTGGAACTCCATGAATAATAATGAATCCACAGTACATCTTTCTATTATAGGGGAGATTTAGACCTTGAACTACTTAATATTAAAAAACGTACGTATAGATTCTTTTTGTGTGTGCCTGGTTTTGGGCTACTGACGCCAAATAAAGAAAAAAAATAATATGCCCTTTGACCTGTCGGACAAAATAGATATTTGCTGTTGCTAAAATAAGAGCATGTGGATGAAAATCAATTCAAAAGTACTTTAAACGTCTGTAAATTTAAATGTTAATTAAAACAAAGATAGCCACTAATCTTTTGAATAAGGCAAGGCATAGTATTATGTGGTGGGATTCGCGTTGCGGGTACTCAAACATCCCCTATTGACACGTTCAGGGGATGAAAAAAAAAACAAAGAAAGAAAAAACACAATGAATTTCGTTCCATTCTAAAAAAAATTATATTACAATATGCAAATGACAAAAGTCAAATATCATCAGAGCTAATATGTGAGATGTTAATCAAGTTAAATAAGTAGAAAAACATTAATACATGATATCGTAACAAAGAATGATGGCGCCTTCTTACAACGAAATACTTTGAAATCAATGCTTGTCACACTTTAATAACGGCTGAATTATCTCTCAGTACAAGTCATTCTAACAGTCTTGAAAAGAACAGAAAAACCAAAAGTGGCCTGTGTCATGCACAAAGAGAATAAGTTCACGAAAGAGAAAAAATACTATATAAATTTAGTCTTTAAAAGTATAAATAAGGGAATTGATATTTCCTCCAAAAGATGTGAAAACAAAAGTAATATTTTTTTTCAATAATGTATCCATTTAGCCAAAACGAAATATCAAGAGTATTTTTTACTTTTGTTTGCTTTATTGACAATATTACCAAAACATGTTTGGAATGAAAACCATTTAAGAAAAAATGCAAGTAGAATAATACTTCTTTTGTTTTTTTGTGTGTAATGTCCTTTAATATTCATTTGGAGGTAAATATTCAAAGTTTGCCAGTATCGCTCAACATTGAATTTTACTTATTCATTATTATTACATTTGTTTTATTAATTATTCGTTATTTATTCAACCTTAAGAAATAATATCGGCCGATCTTTAAAGCTCACACACAAACTTGTAAACCGTGGATTTTAGTCATTTAAATTATATACGGACTTGTCCAAATTTACCCTGCTGGTGAAATAATTATAAAACAAATTATCCTAATTATTCAGCAAAAGTCTACTAATATATACAAATAACTCATGATTTCTATGTCCTTTATGAAAATGAAATTGCTTTATATCTCTGAATTTCTTTCCGCAATTGTTTATTGTGATTAATTGATGTTAATGACAAACGTGTTAAATATGCATAACCAATACATTTATAAAAAAAGACTGGTTAACATTAGTTAAGGATGCTGGAACAGAGAAAGCTATTGCGCTTGTAGGCCTTGCATGATACTTACGTTTCTTATATCCAGAGACATAGTTATAGTGTTATAAGACTGTGCATGGCACAATGTAACTAATAACGTTTCTGCGTACTTATACATCCCTCACTTTCAAATATTAAGGTTTGAGCGTTCCTTGTGTAAGAAAAGAGCTTTGGACGCACGAAATATATAAGAAATTATTTTGACTAACATATTTATTGATGAATAAGAAAAAAATATGATATCGGTGAATGAACATAAGACACGATCTCATATTTTAGGAGTAAATATAATTAAACCATTGCTCTGACATCAGCCTATTCATTAACCGTGTTTCCTTTTTCAAAGAACCCGGCAACGCTTGTTAATCGGTCGCTGTAATAGATTCTCTAAATAATATTACATTAAAGTTGTTCACGTTGTTCGATTACTTTCGAATGCAATTTTATATATGGGGAATAATATTATCATAGTTTTAATTTCTAACAATTTGAACAAAAAAATATGAATTCTAATTTATCTCGTCAACCAACATTATTGCAAACAGAAATTAATAGTAAAGAATAAACAAACGATGGTCCAATGCACATCCTTGTGGATCAAAATAACGTTTATATACTAGAACAGTTAGTTGGTACATGCACCCGCAAGTCACTTCAGACAAATTGTGGAGAAAACACTGAGTGAAAAAATGAGAATGTATTAAGTTCGATTCGATGGTCTTTTTTGTATTTGCTTATTCTTTTGAATTTCTTATTTTGTGTGAAATAATTGAAATGTTTGCAATGAGAATGGATCGTTATTTTTATGCCCCACCTACGGTAGTAGAGGGGCATTATGTTTTTTCGGTCTGTGCGTCCGTTCGTCCGTCTGTCCCGCTTCTGGTTAAAGTTTTTGGTCAAGGTAGTTTTAGATGAAGTTGAAATCCAATCAACTTGAAACTTAGTACATATGTTCCCTATGATATGATCTTTCTAATTTTAATGCCAAATTAGATTTTTGACCCCAATTCCACGGTCCACTGAACATAGAAAATGATAGTGCGAGTGGCGCATCCGTGTACTATGGACACATTCTTGTTATTTGATTATAATTATCAAACACTTAACCTTATAAAAAAGCTTTACATAGCCCATTCTATTGTGTTTGTTTCAATACATATCATTACAAGGGTGAACCAAGATGTGGAATAAATTATTTCCTACTTGAAATTCAGAGTCAATATAAAGCAGACTTATGCAACTATACATTGTATGTCACCGCACGGCCTTCAACGATTAGCAAATCCAACACCGCATTTTCATCTATAAAAGGCCCCGACATGAAAAACTCTGTAACAATTCAAACGAAAAAAAACATGTTTGTGAGCGCTAAACCCTCATCTAACCTGGGACAGTCGTGTAACAGCACAAAATGAGAAATTCTAAAATCAGTTGGAAATGGCTTGACTCATCAGATCGACACGAATCACAAATACAACTTACATTAAGAAAGACAAAAGACACAAAGTTCCGATCTAAGAGTACTTACAGTTACTCAATGCTAGCTAAAAGAGAATAACAGCTAATAAAAAATCATGTTCTCCCAGACAATATATATCTATATTTGAAATTTATTTTGAATATGGCCTTTTTTGTAAAATACAATTTCTATTTAACGGAAATCTCAGTATACATGGTATCAAGTCATTGTTCCACTACTAAATTGTCTATTCTACTTACTAGTACACTTGGTACAATCAAAAACCTGATAATAAATTGTTCAAATAAGGCCTTTGAAAATAGTGGAATTAATTACTTTTGGAGTGTCAAAAACTCATTGGAAGTACTTGATAAATTACATGCATATATTGGTGATTTTGAATCTGTTCAAAGTTTTGATTTTTCTACCCTATATACCACTTTGCCTCATATTAATATTAAGAAAAAATTCACACACCTAATTAAATGGGCATTTAAAAAGTCGGAATGCGAATACATATGTTCAAACTCTTTTAGGTCATTTTTTAGTAGCAACAAACAAAAGAACTATGTCAATTGGACATGCTTTGATACTATATCTGCCCTTGAATTTTTACTTGATAACATTTTTGTTCGCTTTGGAGATTCCGTATATCGTCAAGTTATCGGAATTCCAATGGGGACTAACTGTGCACCACTTATTGCGGACCTGTTTTTGTATTGTTATGAGTTACAATTTATGACTAAAATCAGCAAAGACCCATCGAAACAACATCTGATACAAAAATTTAACAATACTTTTAGATATTTGGATGATATATTGGCTCTCAATAATGACGACTTCAGTATGTATACTAAAGAAATTTATCCTGTTGAACTTACTTTAAATAAAGCTAATACTAACAATGACCACTGTCCTTTCCTCGATCTTGATATCTATATCATTAACGGGAACCTTAATACAAAAATTTATGATAAAAGAGATGATTTTTCATTTCCTATCGTTAATTATCCATTTTTAGATGATGACGTTCCCTTGTCACCATCTTATGTTGTTTATATATCTCAACTTGTACGATTCGCTCGTGTATGTAACAACGTATTAGATTTTAGCGAGAGAAATTTATGTATTACTGAAAAATTATTACACCAGGGTTTTCGATATCATAAACTAGTCAAAACATTTACTAAATTTTATCATCGGTACAAGGACATCATTCGTAAATATAACTCAACATGCAGACATCTTATACGTTCGGGTATTTCACATCCAATCTTTTATGGTAATATCTTTACAAAGCACAAAAATGTCAGTATTCACCTCAAAAGCTAACAAAACCTTTAAACAGACATATTAAGAAGGGATATAGTTACGATACTGTTGTCAGGTCATTAAAGATTGCATATTTTGGCTTTAATATTGATTCACTTATAGGGTCTTTGCATCGGAATTAAACACATTTGTTCTAAAACCAGTTGTTGGCATGACACCGGTTATGTTCTTCTCATATATTTTATGACGGTATAATACTAAACCCCTAACAGGAGGGATTGTGCCTGATATTCATATGATGAAGACATAATCTTTCAATCAGTTTAATTGAGGTCTGGAGCTGGCATGTCAGTAACTGCTAGTAGTCTGTTGTTATTTATGTATTATTGTCATTTTGTTTATTTTCTTTTGTTTCCTATTCTGACAACGGACTCGGACTTCTCTTATACTGAGTTTTACTGTGCGTACTGTTGTGCGTTTGTTTTTTCTACATTGGCTAGAGGTATAGGGGGAGGGTTGAGATCTCAAAAAACATGTTTAACCCGCCGCATTTTTGCGCCTGTCCCAAGTCAGGAGCCTCTGGCCTTTGTTAGTCTTGTATCGTTTTTAATTTTAGTTTCCTGTATATCATTTGGAGTTTAGTATGACGTCCATTATCACTGAACTAGTATACATATTTTTTTAGGGGCCAGCTGAAGGACGCCTCCGGGTGCGGGAGTTTCTCGCTGCATTGAAGACCCATTGGTGACCTTCGGCTGTTGTCTGCTCTATGGTCGGGTCGTTGTCTCTTTGACACATTCCCCATTTCCATTCTCAATTTTATATATACAATTTCTAATTAATTGTTAGTAGGTGGTTACATGATCCCACAAACAACAGGGTTATTGTTTCGAAAAGAACTGTAATTTTGAAAAGACGTCAACACAAAAATTTTAAATAAGAGACATAATGGATAGGCTCATGTTTTCTTTTTAACAAATCAAAGCTCATCAATTGTGTTTTCTTCACATAAACCAACACAAGTTACCACGTGGATTTCAGTATGAACGAAAACTGACACCAGACGGGGATTCAAGAGTAAAAAAGAATCATGCTTTAATTTAAAACATATACAAAAATATTACATAGGAGATTTTATAGATTTGAACAATAACTACAAAACCATTAAAACCTGATGAACATCTGCTTTTGTGATTTTATATTTTTATCTTTTTATCTTTATAAAGGTTTTCTTACTATTGGCATCCCAACAATGCAAAGACCTGGAATTAGTTATTTAGAGAAAACTTTAGAATCTTTAATAATGTTTACAAGCGATCAGGAACGACTGGAAATCGTGATTGCTTTATACATGGCAGATGAAAATCAAACATATGTAGACTTTACAGCAAATGATATTCACAAAAAATACCAAAAGTATTTGGATTCAGGATTTTTACACATATTTCACTATCACGAACAAACATTTCCCGACTTTAATAGTTTATCCCGCACATTTAATGATGCGACCGAGCGAGTTACTTGGAGAAGCAAGCAAAATATAGATTATGCGTACATGTTTATGTACAGCCACAATATTTCTGAGTATTATATTCAGTTGGAAGATGATATACAAGCCACCCCAAATTATTTTAATAAAATAAAAAGTTTTATTTCAACGATGAATAAAAAACGCGTCAAATGGTTTTGTCTAGATTTCTGTAATCTTGGATTTGTTGGAAAACTAGTACGTAATGATGAACTATTAGTTTTGGCAAAGTTTCTGTTAATGTTTTATAACGAACAACCAGGTGACAACTTACTGGGATATCTTAAGCACATAAAAACACAGTTTAAAGATATAAGACACAAACCGTCATTATTTCAACATGTCGGTGTTATATCATCACTCAGAGGTAAAAAGCAGTTTTTGCAAGATGGAACATTGAAAAAGAAATCTTCTAAAAAACGATTTTATAATGACAACCCTCCAGCAAATATTGAAACAACGATTGAAACCTTCGAAAACCATTTTCCTGAGAATCCTTATGGTCTCTCCGACGAATATTTCTGGGGGATTTCCCCAAAGCAGGGTGAAAAATTTAACATAAAATTTCTTAAACCTGAACAAGTAACTGGAATATATATAAAATTTGGATTGCCAGAGCAACCGGATGATATTTTATCAAAAGGTAAGCTTAAAATTTCACAGAATTGTTTAGACTGGAAATACATTAAAAATATACATCAAAGAGTCATAAATCTGGATGGAGTTTATTCGAATTGGCCACGTTACGTACAATGTGTGACAATAGAAGTGACTAGAACACAATCGATATGGATGATCATTCACGAAATATCTATTTTTACTAAACGGGAAATTTCCATTTCTAATGATGCAAATAAAATAAAACAAAAAAGGGTTCAAAACAAAGTTTGAAGAAATAAATGTATAAAATTGCTTGAGATTTTTGTATGATTAATAAGTGTTTGTTTTCACGTTTGTACAACAGATTGATACGAAAATATATACCGTCCTCAATATTTCACAAGGTTGTTAATAACACACTTAAAACTTCCATTTTTGATAGTTATATCAGAAGGTAATAGTTATCCTCTGATCTCAAGTGATATTTATAAACTGAATTGTATGAAATTTCAAAATTTGTATTCCTGAAATCCACGTTATCTGTATCAGTTGTATGTAGGAATGTGGTCCGACTGAAACATTGTTCAGTTAACGAGGCTACTGTTACTATACTGGCGGGTTTTAAATGATTCATTTGCAAATGGCTTAAATTTTATAGTTCATGAATTATACAATTGTAAAACTAAGGTTGCAAGTGTTTCACTAAAAGTTTACCTTTACTGTTCTTTTTAGACGCTTTTGTTGTACTCTCCAATGTTTTATGTTTCTGACTTTTCAAACTCGTGGTTTCAACCAAACATGATGAAAATTGTTCAGGAAACACATGTGGCACGGAAATCTTATCAAATTTTCTTTACAACTACGTGCACGCTGCCATTTTTCAGCTTATGAATTATCTAGCAAATGAACTAATTTTAGGCAACAGATGCATTTCGATAATAAATGTCTCTTAAATGGTGCTCGAGGCCAAAATCCAAAACTTTTAAAAAACGTTGGAAGAGCTGATCAAAATAAGAAGCACCTATAGTATAGTCAAATTCGGACGAGGAATCAGAGCTTTGAACGAGGAAGATATATTCCTAAATTAAAATGATTTTAAAAATTTATAACAGCAAATTGCAATATAATAATATCTGTATTTTTATACCAATACCGATGTACTGGCTACTGGGCTGATGATACCATCGGCGACAGTCCATCAGTAGAGGTATCAACCCTGTGGTAGTAATAATAATAACGGTACCAAGTTTTATACACCAGATGCGCATTTCGACAACTAGCGCCTCTTCAGTGGTGCTCGAGGCCGACATATTTAAAAATCCAAAACCTAATAAAAATGTTGGAAAAAAATAAAATAACAAAAATACCGAACTCCAAGGAAAATTCAAAACGGAAAGTCCCTTATCAAATGGCAAAATCAAAAGCTCAAACACATCAAACGGATGGAAAACAACTGTCATATTCCTGATTTGATACCAGCATTCCTGTATTTAGAAAATGGTGGATTAAACCTGGTTTTATAGCTAGCTAAACCTCTCACCTGTGAATTCCATCATATTGACAACAATGTGTCAAAACAAACAGATATAATAAGTAAAAATGTCAAAAATGGGGGTACAGCAGTGAACATTTAGTTATAATCTTAATCACTATAAAAGCAAAAAACTATGTCAACAAAGAAAAACCAATGTCATATATATATAGACACTATATAGTTAAAACACATACGCAAAAATGAAAGATATTAATACAAAACATGACCATAGCACAATAACACAATGGCGGGATGTATAAATACCTAGCCACGCCAAAAGGATATTACCAAAATTGGACTAAACAGTAAAGGTTAAAACTATACAAAGGCAAAGAACACTATAACACATAATTAAGATTATAAAAATACTGGCTACTTGGCTGGTACTATCATAGCTTAAGTTGCAACGCCACCAAGAAGCAATTTATTTTGAAAGTTTTTTTTCTTTCTATTTCAGCCTTTTTGTTTTATATTCTCATTGTTTTATACATGTTTGGTTTACCTACAGGTTTTTGTCTCGAGTGTACCTGATTAAGGTTGTAGCATCACTACAGAGATATTAGTTGTCGAAATGCGAATCTGGTCCAGAAAGAAAATGGTACCGTTAATGTTGATATGTAAATCCTCTTTAATGGATTTCGGTTTTAAATTTATAGCAGTTTTCTCTCCTTTTCAGTATGTTTTTGAGAATGTAGGTCAGATGATCGTAATTATAAAATGAGTGTTAATATCTTCATTTTGGTTTGTATGTAAGCAATTGGTGTGTTGCTATAAAAGTATAAATGTGATCAGCCATGGTTCCTTGGAATCCTACTGCACCAAAACCGGAATTGGAAAGTAATTGTCTGTTCCAGTGATATTAATTTTTTGTTTTTGTTTTTACAATTGATTGTATGCTTAGGTTTTGTTAAATTACCTTTAAGTAATGTTACATTTGTTATTTCTAATTTCGCCTTAAAGCTTTAAACTGCATGAAACCATGAAGAGGTAGTTATATAAGGGTGTTTATGAGCCGCTATAACATATTAAAATATGTCCTTTCCTTTCTGAAATTATTTTCCTGTAGTTAACCAGAAATATGACAGCCGTTCTCCACTAACTACATCCATTTGATTCTGAATTCTTTTTTCCATATCGACAATGGTTGCATGATCTTAAAACAACCAAGCTGAAGCTAGCGAACAATAACTAGCGAACAATAAGCCAGCGAACAATAAGGCGATATATCTAACAACCGAAAAAATGAATAAGACAGCAACGGCCGTTAAATGAAAAATATTTAAAAAGGCAGACATTCCGTCCAAATATTGCAATTTCAACTCTATCATGAAATGGTATTTATCCCATCCATTGATAAAACAAGTCACAACTCTATTTAGGCTAATATTCAGTACCACAGTAAATCTGCATCTGTCAACGGATTAATAAAATAATAAAATACAGCACCTTTGATGTCATTGTTTAATTGAAATAAGATACACATTTGCAGAAATGGGGTTGGCCTATTCCATGGCTTCTACAGAAAAATAATGAGGGGTGTCACGGGGTATGACTATATAGGTCTTGTAGAGGAGAAACAGGCGCATCTTTTGCGCAAGGTATCGAAGGGCGCTTTGTTCAAAAATCTGAAACTAGAGCTCAAAATTTGAGAAAAAAACTGTTAAAAACAGGGGGGTTGGCCTATTCCATGGTTTCTACAGAAAAATAATGAGAAGTGTCACGGGGTATGACGATATAGGTCTTGTAGAGGAGAAACAGGCGCATCTTTTGCGCAAGGTATCGAAGGGCGCTATGTTCAAAAATCTGAAACTAGAGCTCAAAATTTGAAAAAAAAATAAAAAAACAGGGGGGTTGGCCTATTCCATGGCTTCTACAGAAAAATAATGAGGGGTTTCACGGGGTATGACTATATAGGTCTTGTAGAAGAGAAACAGGCGCATCTCTTGCGCAAGGTATCGAAGGGCGCTATGTTCAAAAATCTGAAACTAGAGCTCAAAATTTGAAAAAAATTGTTAAAAACAGGGGGTTTGCCTATTCCATGGTTTCTAGAGAAAATAAATGAGGGGTGTCACCGGGTATAACTATATAGGTCTTGTAGAAGAGAAACAGGCGCATCTTTTGCGCAAGGTATCGAAGGGCTCTATGTTCAAAAATCTGAAACTAGAGCTCAAAATTTAAAAAAAAAATTGTAAAAAACAGGGAGTTGGTCTATTCCATGGCTTCTAGAGAAAAATAATGATGGGTGTTACGGGGTATGACTATATAGGTCTTGTAGAAAAGAAACAGGCGCATCTTTTGCGCAAGGTATCGAAGGGCGCTATGTTCAAAAATCTGAAACTAGAGCTCAAAATTAAAAAAAAAATTGTTAAAAACTGAGGGGTTGGTCTATTCCATGGCTTCTGGAGAAAAATAATGAGGGGTGTCACGGGGTATGACTATATAGGTCTTGTAGAGGAGAAACAGGCGCATCTTTTGTGCAAGGTATCGAAGGGCGCTATGTTCAAAAATCTGAAACTAGAGCTCAAAATTTGAAAATAGAATGTTAAAAACAGGGGGGGTTGGCCTATTCCATGGCTTCTAGAGAAAAATAATGAGAGGTGTCACGGGGTATGACTATATAGGTCTTGTAGAGGAGAAACAGGCGCATCTTTTGCGCAAGGTATCGAAGGGCGCTATGTTCAAAAATCTGAAACTAGAGCTCAAAATTAAAAAAAAAATTTGTTAAAAACAGGGGGTTTGGTCAATTACATGGCTTCTAGAGAAAAATAATGAGGGTTGTCACGGGGTATAACTATATAGGTCTTGTAGAGGAGAAACAGGCGCATCTTTTGCGCAAGGTATCGAAGGGCGCTATGTTCAAAAATCTGAAACTAGAGCTCAAAATTTTGAAAAAAAATGTTAAAAACAGGGGGGTTGGCCTATTCCATGGTTTCTAGAGAAAAATAATGAAGGGTGTTACGGGGTATGACTATATAGGACTTGTAAAGGAGAAACAAGTGCATCTTTTGCGCAAGGTATCAAAGGGCGCTATGTTCAAAAATCTGAAACTAGAGCTCAAAATTAAAAAAAAAATTGTTAAAAACAGGGGGGTTGGCCTATTCCATGGCTTCTAGAGAAAAATAATGAGGGGTGTAACGGGGTATGACTATATAGGTCTTGTAGAAGAGAAACAGGCGCATCTTTTGCGCAAGGTATCGAAGGGCGCTATGTTCAAAAATCTGAAAGTAGAGCTCTAAATTTAAAAAAAAAAATTGTTAAAAACAGGGGGGTTGGTCTATTCCATGGCTTCTAGAGAAAAATAATGAGGGGTGTCACGGGGTATGACTATATAGGTCTTCTAGAAGAGAAACAGCCGCATCTTTTGCGCAAGGTATTGAAGGGCGCTATGTTCAAAAATCTGAAACTAGAGCTCTAATTTAAAAAAAAAAATTGTTAAAAACAGGGGGGTTGGTCTATTCCATGGCTTCTAGAGAAAAATAATGAGGGGTATCACGGGGTATGACTATATAGGTCTTGTAGAGGAGAAACAGGCGCATCTTTTGCGCAAGGTATGGAAGGTGCTTTGTTCAAAAATCTGAAACTAGAGCTCAAAATTTAAAAAAAAAATGTTGAAAACAGGGGGGTTGGCCTATTCCATGGCTTCTAGAGAAAAATAATGATGGGTGTTACGGGGTATGACTATATAGGTCTTGTAGAGGAGAAACAGGCACATCTTTTGCGTAAGGTATCGAAGGGCGCTATGTTCAAAAATCTGAAACTAGAGCTCAAAATTTAAAAA